ATCAAGGAAATCACATTAATTCTCAATAAGGATCACGACTAAAAAAGTCTTGGCTTTACAACTAACTTTGTAACAGCTATAATAAATCTGATTTATATAAATCAAATCACTTCCTTATTAGAGTCATCAATTTTTTCTTCCCTTCATTGCATTTAGTTAAAATATTTTATTTGCTTTGTCATTGATTCAGTATCTCTGTCCTCAAGTAGAAACGAGTTCTTAGGAAAGACAGAAACTATTCTGCTCTTATTCCTTCTCAAATATATCACCGATACCAGAGTACTTGGCATTCAACAAACAACGAATGCATCAAAACAATGAGAAACATAAAAGAGCCTGACATAAAATTTTGTTTGTTTTGGTGGTCACACCTGGAGGCACTTAAGGGGCTGACTCTTAGCTCTGTGCTAAGGGATCGCTCCTGGAGGGCTCAGGGGACCATCTGGGGTGCCAGAGACAGAACCCGGGTCAGTCATGTGCAAAGCAAGCACCCCACCTACTGCACTACATCACTCGGAACCCTGGCATAATATTTTTGTTGGAAAAATCTAGTTACTGTTGGAGCAGAGTTAGCCTAGGGTAACTCAACGATTTGCTTCAATGGTTGATTTTTCTAAACTACAAATATTCAGAGGTAACATCTGTCTGTGATGTATAACTTGAAAACAGAATATCCAAACAGAATATCTAAATGAACCCAAACTACAGAACCCAGTACCTGACTGAATGACATATCTCAAAGCTTTTTATTTTTTTCTGCTCAGCTCTCATCTTTATCTCAATGTCACTGTGCTGAATGCTTTAACAGAACACTGATTCCCCACCGTTATTCCAGGGATTGACTTCGTCAGAAAGAACTCTTCCTCATATTTCTTCTCAGGTAGAGCCACATTCAAAAAGAAATTCATCTAATGATACAAACATCTAACCCAGGTAGGAAAATAAAGGTTTCGGCAGCTCTTCTAAACCAGTGAAAACTGAAAAGCCGATGCAACCCCAGATTTCTCCTGAGGTCAGTAGGGGGCATCATTGGGCCTCTCTTACAGTTCAAATTCTTTGTGCAGTCATGCTTCCTCAGGAGACCCTCCACAAAGAGTGATCTTTAAGGTGCTTCTTATAAACATGTTACTTCATTTCAGAATCTTCTTCCTATATAATCTGTCACTGTCACTGTCCTCCCATTGTTCATCGGTTTGCTCGAGTGGGCACCAGTAACGTCTCTATTGTGAGACTTGTTGTGACTGTTTTTTGGCATATGGAATATGTCACGGGTAGCTTGCCAGGCTTTGACGTGCAGGCACGATACTCCCGAGAGGGGCGGAGGAATCGAAGTAGAGTCAGTCGGGTTGGCCGCATGCAAGGCAAACGCACTGCCTGCTGTGCTATCGCTCCAGCCCCAAGTAATCTAATCACTGATAATATCTGGAGTCCTACAAGAAAGGGAAGGTCCCAGTGAAGTTTTCTTTTGTTTCTTCTTTCTTTTTTTCTTTCCCTTTCTCTCTCTTTCTCTTTCTCTCTTTCTCTTTCTCTCTCTCTCTTTCTCTTTCTTTCTTTCTTTCTTTCTTTCTTTCTTTCTTTCTTTCTTTCTCTCTCCTTTTACTTCTTTCTTTCCTTCTTTGTCTTTTTGGGCCACACAAAAAAGTGCTAAGGGTTTATTCCTGGCTCTGCACTCAGGGATCACCCCTGTTGGTACTCAGAGGACCATGTGGGGGGCAAGAAAAGTGGCCAACCCATTGTCCCCTCACTCTGCCCCGACCCTCACCCCTTGGGAAGTTTTCTAAAATTGTTGGTGGGTCATACACAGTTTTTTCCATTCCTGCTTCTGTCCCTTTCACTCAAAAATGGTTGATTCCAGCATCTCTTTCAACTCCATCTCAGACCCTAGGGTAACGCAATTTGCAACCGCTTTCCTCCAACCTGAATCTAAGTTACACTTCCTTTTGAAAGAATCTTGTGCTTACTTAGGAATACTCCACCATTTAATTGGGACTGCCAGTTACCACTTTTGTGAAACTTTTCCTAAGCTGGTATAATACTTGCAAGTACTTCTGAAGTCTTAGGTTTTTAAGTGGGAAGAGCCCAGAAATACAACACCTTAATAGACAGCCATTCTCTTTATTTAGAAGTGTGACTTGGAGAGTATCAGTCAGAAGGAGAGGAACAGACACTGAAAAATCACACTAATTTGCAGGATATTTAAAAAAAGTGTGTAATAAATAATAATATCCAAAGACAATCGAAACCAGGGCCAGGAAGATTGGTCCATGATAGGAAGCTTGCCATAAGGGGTGTGTGTGTGTGTGTGTGTGTGTGTGTGTGTGTGTGTGTGTGGCAGGGGCGGCGGGGAGGGGATGAAGGAAGAAGTGAGAGGTGTAGGCAGGACAGAGAAGAGAACACTGTGACAATGATAGTTGGAAACAATCACTGTGGACAGGAACTGGTTGCTGAAAGCAGATAAAGTAATACGCATGATAACCTTTCAATAACAGTATTGAAAACCACATGCCTAGAAGGAAAAAGGGGAGGGGTGGGGTGGAGAGCCTGAAGAGTGTCTGCCACAGAAGCAGGCTGGGGCTACGAGGGGAGGGGACCCAGGGACACTGGTGGTGGGAAATGGACACTTGGTGGAAAGGATGAGTTGTGGGAACACTCTATGACTGAAACTTAATCATGAACAACTCTGTAACTTACAGTGATTCAATTTAAACAGAAGCACTACTGACTTGTCAACCTACATAATCCTTGTCAAGGGTATTAAGTAATATCTCAATTATGTATTTAAAAGCCTATTTTTCTGAATCTAGATTCACACAAAACATTAAAAATAAGATCACACTTCACTGGTTATAGAAAGCTTCGCATTGACGCCGAAATGAGTTATTTTTAAGAAAAGAATTGAGGGATGGGTACTTGATCATTGTATAACTGAAACCCAAGCACAAAAATTTGTAAGTCTACAACTGTACCTCATGGTGTTTCACTAACAAAAATTTAAAAAAAATTAAAAAGAAAAAAGAGCAGAAATAGACTATATAGAAACCAATAAAGCAATGCAAAATGTCAAAAAAATGCAAATATGTAAACCCTACGTTCTACACTCATAATGTGTTTAGCAGCTTTTTTTAGGCTTAATGCAAAAGTGTATAAAGATTTACTCAGACAACAAAAATAATTTGAGAATGCACATTTCTTTTCTTTCATAAATATCATTTTAGTCTTTACATAATCTCTTCACTAATGTTGCTTTCTACATTCTAGAAATTATATCAAAATATTAAATAAGTTTTAGAGTAAGGGTTTTAAATATAAAAAACTATTATAAATTTTTTCAAACAAAAAACAAAAAACAAACACTGTCCTCCCATTGTTCATCAATTTGCTCGAGTGGGCCCAGTAACGTCTCTATTTTGAGACTTGTTGTTACTGTGCTTGGCATACTGAATACGTCACGGGGAGCTTGCCAGGCTTTGCCTTGCGGGCAAGATACTCTCGGGAGCTTGCCGGGCTCTCCGAGAGGGGCGGAGGAATTGAACCCAGGTAGGCTGGGCTGGCTGTGCACAAGACAAACACCCTACCGCTGTGCTCATGTAATCTTAAACTGCAACTTTTAAGCTCTTTCTATGACTAAGTACAGCCTAAGCAAATATGTTACTAAAATTAATTAAGCATGAGAATTTCCAGTCTAGTCATTATTTGACAAATACAAGCTTCACTGAAACAGTTAACAATTCAATATATTCTAAATACTATACAAAGTGATAAAAGTACTTTCAACTACTGGATATAACTTCTTAAAATTAAACCTTATGATAAAAATGAAACCAGAAATACATCTCTAGTTACAACTATTTCTAATCATGAGTTTATTTCTATGAAAAACCATGACAACATAAGTACTTATAAATAGTTCATGATTTCTGGGGTCAAACAATAACAAATGTGATGACTCTCTTTTTTTTTACTTTTGTTCTTTTTGCTTTTTGGGTAACACCCGGCGATGCACAGGGGTTACTACTGGCTCATGCACTCAGAAATTACTTCCGGCGGTGCTCAGGAGACCACGTGGGATGCTGGGAATCAAACCTGGGTCGTCCCTGTGTAAGGCAAATGCCCTACCTGCTGTGCCATCACTCCAGCCCAATGACTGTCTCTTAATGTGACAAAATTCTCTCAGAATGTATTACTAAATTATGGTGCAACTTTCTCCTTTAAAAAAAAAAAGGAAAACTTTACAGTAGCACTTTGTTACAATTAAATGCTGCCTAAACAGTGAACAAATGTCACAGATTTGATCATAGACTCATAATTATTTATGTCCTGATTTGTGCTCATTCTTTTGAACTGGACTCATACTCAGTCTCTGTTTCTCATAGTTCAAAGAGTCAAATACGTCCACAAAGTTAATCAAAGGTCAGATTCCACACAAAGTGCAGACAACCAGTAGGTGGAAGAAGTCTTGCTCAGGAAGTTTAGTTCCTTGTCACAGGGTCACTCTCAACAAACATGCATTTCACTAATTACAGAATATAACAATTCCTTAAGACAAAACACTTTTAGGAGTCGCAACCATCAGGGTAACATTTGTAGGATAATAACATTTGGTCCCTAAGTTATGATGGTACATGTGGAGATATTTCATTAAAATCACTAATTATTAAACTTTGTAACCAAATGGATTTTTTAAGGTTGTGTATCTTTTGATAGTTATTTTATTTTTTAACTTTTTAAAAAAAAATTTTTAGTAGTGAAACACCATGAGGTACAGTTGTAGACTTACAAATGTTTGTGCTTGGGTTTCAGTTATACAATGATCCAGTACCCATCCCTCCACCAGTGCCCATTCTCCATCATTTACATTTTTAAAAAAATTTTTGTTAGTGAAACACCATGAGGTACAGTTGTAGATTTACAAGTGATTTTTAATGGTTTATCTTATGTCATTTCACCTTTCAATTCTTGAAATTCAAGTCAAATATAAATAAAAGAAAGATAATACATACTTGGAAGAAACTGCCTCCATGAATTCATCCAAAAATTTATCATATTCAGGACCTCTCACTCTTCTCTGTCGGAGTCCAATGTACAGCGGATCCTTAAGTAACTCCTATTGAGACAAAAAGCAAGCAAAGATTTAGAAATAGCCAATGGAAATTTTCTCCTTCTGAGCTTTGGCTTCCTCATCTGTATAAAAATAAGAAGTAAAATAACCCAGAGTTATTTAGTCTATTATAGAGTGCATTTACAGTATTTATGTGCCAAGTTGAAAGAAAAACTATTAAAAACTCAAACTATATTCTGGGGACAAAAAAGGAACCGAACTTGATTGGTAGTGCTACTTAGAAAAGTTATTCGCAGCAGGCCTTCCTCCCCATCTGAAACCCTCGGCTTGCTGCTCCTCCAACTTTCCAGGTGAGGTTAACTACACAGCTGACATCCTAAGGCCTTTTTTTTTTTTAAAAAAAAGAAGTATTTTTATTGAGGTACCGTAATTTATAAAGTTATTCATAGCATCCAATTTTTGCAATCATTCATGATCAAATTCCATGTGTACAATTTTCCAACATCCATCCCATCCCCTGAGGACCACCCCAGGCTGGGTTCCAGGACTGTGTGGGATGCCAGGGACCAAACCTGGGTCCGGTGCATGAAAGGCAAGCATCCTAGCCACTGCACTGTATTATCACTCTGGCTTCCCCAACGTCTTTTTTTTTTTAATTTTTATTAGTGAGACACCATGAGGTACAGCTGTAGACTCACAAATTTTGTGCTTGGGTTTCAATTACACAATGAGAAATTTTAAGTTAAAAAAATGACCTCAAAACTCATAGCAATATTGTCATGGTGGCAAAAAAATAGAAACTAGAAATGTCTCTAATATGCATTAATATCTGAGAGCTATCTAAATGAGAAGCATTTTGCAAAAGAGTGCATAGCTCTCCATGAGCATAGATGCTCTTTTAAGAAATGTTCAACAAAGGTAAAACATCGAGTTTGAAACACCGTAAGACATGCACAAAGAAAACAGCACAGCGACAAGGTAAGTCAAGATGAGAGCCAGAGTCAGCGGCCACCTCAATGCCCCCAACGTCTCTTTGGAACCTACAGTGGCTCGCCATCTCTTCCAGTTGGGTCCGCCACGTGAGAGCTCCACTAAACACACTTCACACTGCCCATGCTTATACCTCCTGCTACAGTGGGAAGCCAGGCAGACAAGGAAAAAGAGCAACACCCAGCCTAATCTCTCAGTAGCTTTGTGGGGTGGAGGGGGGGTGCTGACTATCAAGATTCACTCTCCGGAGAGTAGAAGCACAGCAAACACAACGAGAAAGATAAACGGAAGCCACACAAGCTCAGTGAATGAAGAGACTAGCACCAGCACTAGAGGTTTTGTCTAAAGAACTGAGCTCAGATAGAGAAGGGAGCACCAAATAAAGGGTGTTGGGAGGTTCCTCTCAGGATGGGAAATGTGTGATGAGAGTAGACTACAGTCCAAATAAGATTGCCACTCGATGTCTCTTTTGCAAACCACAGCACCCAAAAGGAGAGAGAGAACAAAAGGGAATGCCTTGCCACAGAGGCAGGGTGGGATGGGGGGGGGTGGGGGTGGGAGGGAGGGATACTGGGATCCGTGGTGGTGGGAAATGGGCACTAATGGAGGGATGGGTATTCGATCATTGTATAACTGAAACCCAAGCACAAAAATTTGTAAGTCTACAACTGTACCTCATGGTGTTTCACTAATAAAAATTTAAGGGAAAAATATATACATATATCAATAAAGGAAGTAGATAAACGTAAAAAAATGCTACTTCTTTCATAGGTAAGTATTGCAAAGAATGTAAAGGGCTAAAAACAAGGAAAACATATTAAATACAAATTACAGCATACAATGGGGAGAAATAAAAGGAAAACAGAAAAAAAAAAGAAGGGAGATGGGTGGCTAGGAGAGGCCTTGAGGTCACTGACGGAGAGAGGCAGCTTTCCAGTGGGATCTCGTGTTGGAATGGTGCATGCCTGAAAAGTATAGTCAATAGTATTGCAAATCCAAGCACCTCAATAGAAACTATTTAAAAAAATAAAAAGTTAAATTCATATCTTAGAGGCATCTCACACAGAAAGAGATTTAGTTTCAAATATTATATTAGCTTAGAAAATAAAAAAAATAGTAAGCCCATTTTTTAATGCTTATATCTATTTCTAAAATCATAAGTTTAAAGAAAACACACTATATATTTATGTAAACATTTTTATTTTTTCTTTTTGGGTCACACCCGGCGATGCTCAGGGATTACTCCTGGCTCTGCACTCAGGAATTACTCCTGGCGTTGCTTGGGGGACCATATGGGATGCTGGGAATCGAACCCAGGCTGATTGCGTGCAAGGCAAATGCCCTACCTGCTGTGCTATCACTCCAGTCCCTAAAAATCTTTTTGAAAGTAGCATCTGGGTTTTCTTTTCCCATTTCATTTATTTATTTAGTTTTGGTTTTGAGGCTGATCTATCAATACTCAGAGGCTACCTTTGGTTACGTAGAACTGCTGGGAGACCAGGCAGTGTCGGCAGCTTCCTGCAAGCAAAACATGTGCTTTGGCTCACCGAGTCATCTCTCCAGGCCTTTATATTACATTTTGAATTACTCAATTTTTTTCATTGAGATAACAATATTTTAGGAGAGTTTATGTTTTGACAGTACATTCTAACGACATCTCACCCACCACCAAACTAACACTATTCGCCAGCACAGCCTATAGGACCTCTTGTGTCTACCGTTGACTAGTCTGATAACCTTAGTTCTGTCATAAGCTGAAGGATTTGTTTTCACTGGACAGTCAAATCCCTTGCTTTGTTTCTTTTTTTTTCTTTATTTCTTTATATTATACACAAGTGAGAGCATCCGCTTTTTCCTTGTAATTAATTTCATTTAACATAATATCCTTTTTTTTTTTATCAGTGTTGTAGAAAAACTTTATCCAACAGCAAAGTAGCACTCTGTTGTGTATATCTTTATATACAATATCTTTATCCACTCATCTTTTTTGTAGGGCATTTGAGTTAGTTCCAGAATTTGGACAATGTACCTACTACTTCGAAGAATAACAGCATGGAGATACCTTTCCAAACTAGCCTTTTGTATTCATAACGTCTATAATTTTACACTGAGTAAGAGTAAAATTAAAGGTCTTAATAAAACTAAAGCTAAAAGATGAAACACTGCTTTGTTCAAATTTTAGTCTGTGTGAAATTACTAAACTTTTTGAAATTAGCTTTCAATTGAGACATAATTGATATATGACAAAATGTACCCATTTCTAACAAAGCTCCCAGAAAAGAATTTTTTTTAACTCAATGAAGGGCATCTATGAGAAATCTGCAGCTAACAACATATTTAACAGTGAAAGACGGACTGCTAGTTCCCTAACTCTCCAAACTAGACAAGGATATCTACTTTCACCACTTCTACTCAACAATGTACTGGAAACCCTAGACATTATAATAAGCCAAGAAAAAGAAAAAAAAGAAATACTGGCGTGAAAGAAACTATTTTTACTTGTACGCACATAATTATGCAGATAAGAAATAGTAAGAACCCTACCAAGAATTCATTAGGTAAAAAATGTAACTTTAATACAATTGTAGGATATAAAGTTAATTTGCACAAATTGGGTTTCAACATATTAGCAAAGGACAGTTGAAAAATGAAATAAAATACACAAGCTCATTTGCAATACCATACCAAACATGGAATTCATAAGGACGTATTTAACAAACTATGTGTGAGCTCTGGTACTGGAAACTACAAAATCTTGCCAAAAGAAAGTTTAAAGGATGAACTATACAGCATGGGAAAAAAATAACAATTTATGTCATGCACATGGAATAATGGACAAAATCTCCACCTTCAACAATTTGATATAGATAAAATGTACCCAGTGAACTTGCAAATCTAGTTAAGAAGATTTTTAGGCAGAATGTCAAATGTACAGATTAGTGTGCCTTATGCACTAGAGCTTGAGAGACATCACAAGAGACACGGTGCTTGTTTTCCTTGCATATGGCTCACCTGGTCCCCCAAGTATCATGGGGAGTGGCTTGTCTCCTCCAGCACTGCCTAGTGTGGTCCAAGTCCTCCTCCCTCCAAAAAATACATAGTATGCTAAACAAGGAAATATGTACCCTGTGAGATGTAAACACATAAAGGACACCAGATTTGGTTCTAAGAGATATCCAAGTAAATTAAGCCATGAAGGCCTGCAATCAAAGATCAAATTAAGTTTGATCTCTGTTAAACAGCTTTAAAAAATATTTTAATGACTTCAAGTGGAATTTTATTGATCATCTTGGTGAGCCTTGGTGAGACAAAGGAACCAGTCCCACAGCATTCTTTTCCACCAACCAATGTACAGAGAAGATCTGTTTTCAAAATTATGCTTAGTGGGACTTTTGTTTCAGTCTACCGGGACAGACTATAACCTGAAACAAAGAAAGCCAAAAAAAATATTAGAATGCTATATCACTAACTAGATTGAGACACACATACTTGAAATAAAACTACTTCTCTGAGGTTCAGAGTGATAGTTGAACGGGTAAGGAGCTTGTCTTTCACACAACCAACCAATGTTGGATCCCCGGCATCTCATGAGGTCCCCTGAGTGCTCCAACAAGTGATTCCTGAATGCAGAGTTAGGAGTAAGCCCTGAGTATGGCTGATTTTGGCCCCAAGCCAAAAAACAAACAAACTAAAACCCTATTTCTCTGAGTACCCAAATTATCACAGGAAGGAAGCAGGCTGAGAAAGTAATTCAGCTGCAAATACAGCCAATTCTTTCTCTCTCTCTCTCTCTTTCTTTCTTTCTTTCTTTCTTTCTTTCTTTCTTTCTTTCTTTCTTTCTTTCTTTCTTTCTTTCTATGGCATATGAAAAAAATCCCAGGCACTCACACATGTACAATATAAGGTAAGTATTCTGTGTTGAGCTATAACCATGGTCCCATTCATAGCCACTTCTTTTTTTTCTTTTTCTTTCTTATTTTTTTTGTTTCCAAGCACTGTGATTTACAATCCTGTTATATTTTCAAGCACACAACATTCCAACACCACATCTTCCA